CTGGAGATCTCAGAATCATTCTCATATCCATAGCGACACAGCTGGAATCCCAGGGACCAGTAAGGTACCATCACAGGCCGACCAATCAACTGGAAGACAGACAGAAAGTGTTAGAATGTTAGAGGAGAAGTTGGATGGAAACTGGATATGAAGTTAGAATATTTTACCCAATTTAACACCAAATTCAAACCCAGAGAGTAAGTGGCGGGGGTGGGGGTGGGGGTGAGAACTCCTGGGACACACTACAGAAAACCTACAGCTTCTCAGAGCACACATTCCAGGAGTTCTGGAAAACCTGCTTTTATTCAGATTCCTAGATATAAAATTTAAATACTAAAAACATACAACAAAAAGGGAAATGGCTAACTTAGAATACTTTCTCTAGGTCTTGCTGATTGTGTGACCTTGGGCAGTTATATCACATTTCTGTGTTGTTTCTTTACCTGTTAATCAAAGGTAAGAGTAGGGGTTATCTCATGTTGTTTTCACTGAGCAACTTACTAGGAGTGACACCCTGTCATATGCATTAAGTAACACACACAGTAGATATTTCATAAATGTTAGTTGATGTTGTCACCAACAATGTTATTATAATCATGACTCCCACCTCCACCACAAGTACAGTCATTGTCCCTATCACCACATTGTAAGCACTGTGACAATGTCATGATGTAATATTTGCCATCATAATTCCCATTGCCATCACAGACACAATCATCATTACCAACACCACTCCTACTAAAACATTATCATATCTACCACCACCATCACTAATATGAACCTCACTCTCTCAGCTTCCATCATCAACTCCACTACAATCACTTTTATGACCACTCATGTCCTATCATCCTCTCTACCATTATCACCATAACAGTCAACATCCTCACAATCACTTTCACCAATAGTACTACCACTACATTCAATATCACCATCACTCACCACACCATCAAAATCACTACTACCATAGTTCCACCAGCACATTAGCCCACCACAAGTTACCACAAATAGTTTGCTATACTTCAATGGGTGAAGAAAAGATCATTTTAATAGTTACAGGAATATATTCTCTCTCCCATATTCCATATTATAAATTCCCATGAGAAAGACCATCAAATTTAGGTACCATATGACAGTTACATTATATGGCAATTCTGTATAGCAGGGTTGGAAACATTATGCATATATGAACAAACACACATGTACAACACACATATTTCAAAAAATGCTTTCCTTCCTACCTCTGTGTATTGCTGAGTGACAAGCTCTGGAGTTGGGCCCAAGAACACATAGAAGTCCAGAATGCCCCCTGTGGTCCTGTATGTTAGGGCAGGCAGGGGCTGGAATGTCACATCTGGAAACACAAGAAAATGTCATCATGATGAAATCCTTCCTGCTGAGAATACTTACCCTAGAATTCATACCTTCTTATTCATAAATTGTAACACACTGACAGGAGATATTTGGAGTGGGTACATATAGAATTGTAGAAGTCAAGAAAAGCTCTCAACTAGCTGCATTGCTAATAAAAGTTGGGTAAATTATATATATTTAAAATATACATAAAGGGTCAAAGAAAGGAAAAACCAATCCATAAAGTCTATAATTTTGACTATAGTGACAGCTAAGTCAAATATATTCTAAAGCAATTTCAGAATCATTGGCACACAATAAAAGGACAAAGCTTTATCCTACCCATGGCATTGCTGTTCATCAGGAGGACTCCATGGGCATTGCCATCCTCCTCTAGACCCATGTAGTAAGGGTGGACACCATAGGAATTCTTCTTGTACTGAGAGGCATAGGGAAAAGGAGGTTAGGAGACTGTGTGCCTGGGAAAGAAACTCAACAGAAACTTGATTGCTACGTTGAGTCAATCTTCTTCTGGTAAGAATAGCAGAGGAAAGGGGAACTTAAAATGATCTCCATCCATCTAGCAATAGAAGTTGACAAGCATGTGGAGTCTGGAAAAAACATCACAAAGCACCTAGCATGGTTGGAGGAGACAGAACACAGACACCAACGCCCTGTCCTTACCCCTGGGGGCTCATCCCTGGAAAACATGCCCCAGGTGTGCCAGTTCAAGTCTATCTTGAAGGTTGTGTGCTCAGTTTCCCCGAAGCCATAGATGTATGTGGAGGGCAGGCGGGTGGAGATGCGGATGAACATGTCATTGAAGGTGAAGCCAGGGAGCTGAGAGTCCCAGCTGCAGAAGGAAGAGGAACATTTGCGAAAGGAAATCAGCTTCCTAGTAGCTTCCAGTAGCTGCCTCTGTGAGGACAGCAGAGCCCTCCATTTTCCCACACCATCTGTACCTGAGTCTCTCTCAAATAAAACAAGTAAGTCTCATTCACTGAAATAACCACACTCAGCCCTGCTACAGGCCACAGTGATAGTAAGTCTTCTCTTCCACTGTATCACTGCTTCCTTTAGTGTTGTCCACAGTCACATGTCCACTCACGTTTATCACCTTACCATTCCAGACTCACTGTGTCTTCTGCTCTTGACCCCTGATGCTCCACTTCCTACAGGTATCCAGGGCTGTGATATGAGCACCTCACACCACCTCACACTTCTGCTCATGTACCTGCTCACTTCTCCTGACAGCATCTGAGGAACCTTCCGGGCTGTTCCCATTCTAAATTCCACCTAACACCCCTGCTTTGTCTCCCACCTTTATCCAAGCGGTTACCTCAGAGTAATCTCTTTATTGAAACTGATAAATTTCCTCTGGGTAATGACTTACATCATTCTATTACAAATGTTCCTTTACCCAGAACTCCCTGTGGGACTCCTCCTAATCTCATTTCCATTTCAAACATCACCTCATGCTCAGAGACACAAAATCAGATCATGGTATCGAGTCTACAGATAACCTGATTTCCCTGATTTTTCCTGCATAGCAGTTGTTGCTATATCAAATTCCTCTTCATAGCATAATTTAAACTTTCTTTAGTGGAAGATATAGCATATCTGTCTATGAACACAGTACCAGAAGATAACCTAATATAAATACTTGGTCAATATTTCCCACATACCTGTAACTGACTTAGTAATCCCTCCCAGAGTATTAAAGATTTCCTCTAAGAACAGAAAGCATTTCCTCTTGTGTGGTGTTTATGTGAGATATCACCCATAATCCCAGATACTTGAATACTTGGTCTCCATTTGTGCACTATTTGGGGACTATTGGGAGACTAGGATTGGCCTTGGTCAAGGAAGTATGTCACTGGGGACAGGCTTTGGAGTTGAAAGGCTCACACCATTCCCAGTTTGCTTTCTGTTTCTTGTTTGCAGATCAAAGTTGAGCTCTCAGTGTTCCTGCTGCCCTGTGTGCTGCCTGCATCCACGTCACCATCATGGACTCCAAACCTCTGAAGCCATAAACTCAAATAAACTCTTCTATAAGTTGTCTTGGTTGGGGTTTTTATCACACCCATAAAAGGTAACTAATGCATTATAGATTCAAATGAGATCAGTCTGATGCTTTGAGCCAGGATGTCCTCAATTAATATGGACCTGGTGAGGAAGGTTTAGAAAAGCAGAAACTCCAAGTCAGACAGGACTCACTTACATTACAGTGCCTGTACTCTTCCTGCGAATTTCAATCCCGAATGGATTCTGCTTGATGAGCACATCATAGAGACGGCCTTCAGGGGTGCTGGATGGGGCAGCAGGGATGTTCAGAGGCACTGGGACTTCATACCGACTGTGGTTGGGATCATAGATCTAGGCCAGAGGAGAATATTTTATATAAAGAAAAAAATATAGCATACACATTATGATGTTTTCTTAGCATGCTGACAGTGCTCATAATTAACAATAATAATAATATAATTGCATAACTAATAATATAATTCAAAATAACTCGTGAAGATGTTTAATTTCCACCTCACAAAACATTAGAGGATTGAAACACCAGATCCTAACTGTACTGGATTGATAATCTATAAAATGTAAATATGTCAAAACATGACATCAATAGTGTAAATATTCACAGTTAGCTGTCATTTCAAAAGAACAATTTAGTCAAGAATTGTTCTCTAGAGACAAATACCTCAGCATACTCTGAGCATGTTGCACAGAGTCCAGAGGCTGAATGTTTTATCTTCTTTTACCTCACAATACAGGACTTAACCAACATACCAGAGAACAAAGTTCTATTAAATAACTTGATCTGGCTCATGTCTCAGTATTATGGGCTCTAGAATCTTCACCTATTTCAACACTGCTATCAACATGAAATGTTCATTCTGAAATTGGTATGGTACTTATAAACATATGATATATTGTTTTGTATGTGGATGTATGGGTATAAGGAGACCTGAAATCACTGAAATTGGCAGGAAAAAAAACTAAATTTCTCTAATTAAAAACATCTTCTGAAGATGAAATACAGCTGGATAATTAAGGATCCAAATACTACTGTGGATACAATAGTAATTAGTAGGGATAGGAAATGAATAAGCCAAGGTTAATGTCATAAAATGTTTAGTAATTCATGGGAAACAAGAAAGAAGAATTCAGCACTCCTGGAGGATGTGAGCTAACACAAATTCTGCAGAAGGGCTTTGCTATTACAGGGAAGGAACAGTGAGACGGTTTCATGGAAGAAATACAGGCTGAATCTTAAAAGTTAAGCAGCAGTAAAGCAACACAAAACTGAGAGCAGGTGATTCTGGTAAAGAAACAACAATCACAAAGTCCCAGAGTGGTAAAGTGGGATCAGAAAGACATGAGTATGATGGAGAGAATTACTGCATAGCTAACGGTTAGTGAGTGTGAGTTGAGGCTACACACCCAATCAACTCCATTCTCTTGAGGACACACACAAAAAAACATCACATTAGAAGATGGAGAAGTTGAGTCCAGATTGAGCCCAGATTCTAAGGGTAGTCTAAGCACAGCCACTCTGCCTTGATCACCGCCTTGTTCTATTCCAATAGCATTTGAGTACTCACTATATATCAGCCTATGTGTAGGATTCCAATACTGCCACCAAACTCATCTATAACTGTCCAACCTTCCTAGTAGCCTCTTCTGCTCCCTTTCCATGTTTCATTCTCCCAAAATATTTCTTTAGACACAGTGATTCTCTCAAATTCAAAATTAGGCAAGGTTTCACTATTCTACCAGTCATCTAATTGCTCTCTTCATTAGAATGTTTTAGACTACTTACTAAACAAATAAAAAACCTTATAATGTTGTAACACAAGGTTGCACAGAGTAATAGAACTGAAAAGGCCCTGTCCACACCTGATGGCACACACTGTGTTTACCTTGAACTGCAGCATTTCATTCTTGTGGTAGATCACGCGCAGTTGCAGCTGATTCACGGGTGTAGAGGGGAAGGCATTGTTATAAGGAGAAGGCTTCAAGGAGATGTCCGCTGTGGCCTCATTCGGGTGATTCTGAACATTGCTGACTGTGTACAGCTCATTGGCAAAGTAGCAGTAAGGGACCCCAGAAGAGCTGGATTCCTAAAAAGAAAGTCAATATCCTAGATCAGCAGGGATCTGTAGTTATCACATAGATAAGTCTATTTATATGGAGAAAGCCATCATTTCAGTCACTCAGGTCTATAGCAATTAAAATAAGCATTACTCTAAATTCCTCAACTTCAAACAACACAGTAAACACCCCATTTTTCCACACTCTACTCCTCAATCCAAATCAGACTCATCTGGAGCCTTTTCTTTTAGTGGATTTTAATAAATCCAAGGGTACAGGGCTATGCTAAAGACATTGTAGGTTGTATTTCAAGGGTTCCAGTTTCCAGGAACACCCTCAGCATGCTTACCTCCCAAATGCAGCCACGGGCAGTGCATTTGGCCTCAGTTACACCATCCTCATCTGGGTAGCAGTCTATCTTCTCCTGGTCCATCATGATGTCCCACTCGACTGTGTATGCTTCTCCCAGCATGAGATGGATATCTGTGATGGTGGACACCTGAAGGAATGCAAATTCATCCTCAGGACAAACATCTTGCCAGACTTGAACCTTTCTTTTTTGAAAATTAAGTATAAATGTCATTCTTAGCTTATCCTTATGCTCTGCTTTTAAGGATTTAAAGAGCACACTACAGTTTGCAAGGGTCCCACTGTATAGATGGGGTGGGAGATAGTGGTAAAAGGAAAATGTCAGCACTCTCTCAAAACCTTCTATATTACACTGTAGAAAGAGATCGACCGTGAAAAACCTGCTGTGTTCACACTTCATTTTCATTCCTTCCCTGGACCACTTGACCCCTAATTCATTTGGTCAGAAAGGCTTTCTCCTTCTATTGTCAAATAAGCTATTTTTCTCACTCATCACCTCTTCATATCATGACCCCTTTGGTGTTGAAAGCCTAGAGAATAGGGCAGTATGAGTAATGTAGCTCGAGCTGTAGCAGTTTTTTTCTGGAATCTCATACAAGTTTTCTTAATTATTTTGGTCTAAGATTTATCAACCAAGTATAAGACTGGGGAGTAGGAAATGTCATTATATAAACTTTCATTTCCAGCATCCCAGTCTTATCATGTCCCAAGGCCAGAAACGCAGATTTGAAGTTACATATACTGCACTTGCTTTCAACTGCAGCATTTCATTCTAATTTTTTCTGTTCTTTTATTTGAAGTTTCTTACGCAGCACCTGCATGACTAATGCATTCATTATATGGAGCATACTGTCACTTTCTAGATGTGATCATCTCCTTCTCAGTGTCCTTCCAGTAGCCAGTACCCTGTCCTTCCTGTCTTTCCAATCCCCACCCTCCACTCCAGACTTCAATGAGGCCTTGATTCAAGGATCGTTGTCAGGACCTTAAAGAATTAAATATGACTTTCTTAATAGGGTGCCTGAAACCCTCTCAAGTCTGACAAGTTTTCTCTGGCCCCAAACACTCTGCTTCCAAATGTGAATGAGACCTTAGCCAGGCATGGAATTAAAGACTGATAGTGGAAGACTTCTAAAACCTTTGATTGGCCTGTCAAGAATAGCTCAACTTGGAAAGCATCACCAAGACAAATGCTTTCTAGGAAAACAAGGCCCTTTCTGTACACATTACCAGCTCTTTTATTAGTATGAACCATGCTCTCCTCTTTTGGTATTTCAGGTTCTAATCACAGATTCTTCCAATTGATATCTGAAAATGACTATAGCATATTCATGGCCAGAAAAGTAAATTTGAGTTCATTTGCTGGGTCAGGGTTTCTTTCCTGCCAGAAAGGCCTGGTCCTTCAGCTTTATCTCTGCCTTCCTCTTTTTCCAACTCCCTTTTCTTTGCTTATTTTTTTCCTTTTTCATCTCTCCTAGAATAAGGGCATTGTCACTAGATCTAAGTAGCTACTTCCAATCATTAGACAAGACAGATCTAAGTTCTGACGAAGTTCAACCTTGACCCAATTCCAACAAGTTTTCAACTTTGAACATTCAATTACAGGAAAAAAAAAACTCCAATCTGTTTTCAATCTCAGACTGCTTGTCATATAAAGCTGATGAATCCAGCCTTACTTTATGTGCATGGGTGTTTTGCTTGCATGCATGTCTGTGCATTATGTGTGTGGCCACAGAAGCCAGAAGTGGCATTGGATCCCCTGGTACCGGAGTTACACATTTGTGTACCAACATGTGTATGCTAGGAATCCAACCTGGGACCTCTAGAAGATCATCCAGTGCTATTAACTGCTGAGCCATCACACCATCTCCATGAAAATCTGTCTTTGAAGGTCCTGTTCTATCCATGCCTTTTCCAAAAAGCTGACCTCAGCTACCACATTAAGCCTTGAATATTAAGTAAGTCCAATGCAAATATTTTACAAATGTTGATTTAGACTCCTTAATTCTTTCATATATTTTTCATGTGTGTGAATTGTATCTCCTACCACCCTGATTCAAACAATAAAGAGTGTTTTGGTGATATATTAACTATGTTATTTTCTACCAAGAACAAAGCTTGTTTTCACATCTACATCTTCCAGCTGCCTTACACTTTGCCATACACACAACCAACCACCTAATACTTTATTTATAACTTCATAATGTATGTTTCTTCTGTACATAATGTGATGACAAATGTCAAGTATCATCAATATGCCATCTATTCGAAGTCTCAGTTACTCATTTTCCTAATTTGAAAGAGCCTGAAAACAGTGCTGATTGAACAGCTCCAATTCCATGAGGATCCTCAGCAGAAGTCATGAGAACTGACTTGGAAAGGATTCCTCACAGTGCTGAGGAATAGAGTAATGGAAATGAAGTCATACACAAAGGTTGGATCTCATTACATCTACCAGAACAGCACTTTCTAATCACCAACTGAGTTAGTTAGAAGCACCATCAACTTTTGCATAAAGTATTTCCTGCAAATGTGTATGTTAGAGAACACGTACTGTTCTCGATAGAGCTCGACAAAAGGGAAAAACAGTAAATAGACAAAAGCACTTTAAAGTTTGTATTCATAGGATCTCTATCTCTACCTTCACCTCCAAGCACAAGCCATCAGCTCTCAGGTCCTGTCCCCACACCCCATTACAGAAAAGCAAACACTGAGAGTGAAGAAACCAGGGACGGAAAAACTGGAGTCATGGTGCCTCACACTATCTCTACATCTCTACCTTCCTCCTAATACTCTGACATCCCCACCAGGCATCAGATGTGCTCTGGTCCTTCAACAGCCCATGTGATCTTAGCACGAAGTGATGTCAAGAAGCCATAGAGGTTTTTGAAAGTCTCCCTCACAAAAGGAATTCTTACCTTCAGGCTTGAATTGTAAGTGATTTGAGGAGACATCTGACTAAGGACACCATTCTGTTTCACTCTAACATTGTAAATTGCCTGTGTCCCAAGGATTTTAATTTCCTGGAATGCCAAGTTATTGGGATCCTTGTAGTTTGGACTTGAAATTGTCACATTCAAATGGTTCTGAAACACATCAAGCATAATTATGAATAAATTATAAACACTTAGAATCCCAGCTCCTCAAACATCCATCCTAGACTACACCCCCAACCTTCTCTAAAGGCCTCTCAATTTCATCTTCTAATGTATGCTAATGGGGTACAAATTTATTTTATAATGCCAATGGAGAGAGATGAGGAAAGAGACATTTTAGAGAATTATCTTTTACAACACTAGCTGATTTTTTGTTTGTTTTTCAAGACAGGGTTTCTCTGTGTAGTTTTGTGCCTTTCCTGGAACTCACTTTGTAGACCAGGCTGGCCTCGAATTCGCAGAGATCCACCTGCCTCTGCCTCCCAAGTGCTGGGATTAAAGACATGTGCCACCACCGCCCGGCTTGATTTTCTTTTTACTATTGACTCTTTTTGATAAATATAGCTGATGTAATTATTATGAATTAAGTCCTAAGTGTATTCACCCACATAAATGGTGATATTTAAATACAGTTTCATGAAAATAGAACACATACAGTTATCTTCAGACAAAATCCCACACAATATTTATACAAATATGCACTCACTTGGGTGACAGAAAATTCACTGAATAGGTAAATGTTCTTGGCCACAGTATCTGAAAGAAGAAAAAGATGTCAGACTGGTCTGGCAACCACAGAAGATGTGTTTCACCTTCCTCTCCTTAAAACTGGCTCCTCTTTCTTTTCATGACTGAAGACACTTTACTAGATCTGTGTATCACAACTTCTTTATTCATTCATCTGTCAGATACTATGGCTGCTTATGGATCTTTACTAGTACAGATAGTGCCACAGTGACTATGAGAGACACAATATCTTTATGGCATACTGTTTTCATTTCTTTTGGATGGCACATACCCAAACATGGGACTTCTGTGCTATGTAGTTCTATTTTCAATATGTGAGGGTGTGTCTATGCTGTTCTGCACAATGACTATGCAAATTTATTTTATGTTTTGTTGCCTATGCTTTTGGTATCACACTTAAAATTACAATACCATGCCCAGTATCAAAGAAACTTCCCCTATGTTTCCTCCTAAGAGGTCGCTGTCCTCTGAGGTGCCCATTACCAAAGAAGCTTCTCATATATTTCCTCCTAAGTGGTTGCTGTTAAGTCTCTTGTCCACTTTTTCACAATAGCTAAGATGGGGAAACAACAACCATATCTATTTGCAGATTAATGAGTAAAAGAATTACAGTGCATAAATACAATGGAGTATTCTTGACTATTAAAGAAGAAGGAAGCCCTGCATTGTTAGAGCAGAGATGAATCTGGATCATATTCCACTAGGAGAAGTAGGTGAGACAACAAAGGAGAAATAATGTATGGTCTCTTTTCATACAGGAGATAAATTTTTGCACTCAGAGGAAGGGACAGGAGTTTTCAGAATCAGACAGAAGGGTAAATGTGGAAAATCTGTTCAAGGACTATGAACAATGATAAGAACAAGTTCTGGAGAGCCAATGCTGCCATTAGTGGTGATGGAAGCATCGGGTTATATTATGGTAACCATTGCACAGTGCCTCTAGGTGTGTAGCGTTTACATGGCCACACACTTGGCTTCTCTTTAGTACCATAACTGTGAAAGGATCCTTTGCAGTCCTCCCAAGGCAGTGATCCTATGGGAATCTATTTCCCAAGTTAAAGTCATGAGAATTGTTGGTGCAGTGGAGTTAAGGAAAAGAAAGAAACAAAGAGAGAAAGAAAATATACTAATGTTAGATGCACATAATCAGGAATGTGTACACTTGCTACCTCCTTGACATGGGTGTGTCTTTCATATCTTCAACAGTTTTCCCCTAGGGACTCAGGGGGAAGGTATGTACAATGAAGGCGAATTACAGGAACAGTGTTAAAAATGTGCCCTTGAGATGTCTTTTAGCAATGAAGTGAAAGCCTGTTAGACATGACTCACCAAGGAGAGAATTCAGAAAAAGAGAGAAAGAGAGACAGAGACAGAGAAAGTCAGAGAGATGCTCTCCCTCCTCCATCTGAGGTTCGTCTGTCATGGCCTCTGACCAGTACATGCAGAAGCACCTGTTTTCTCTCGGAGGATGCTCTAGGATGCCTGGTGAGATTTCACCAACAGCTGAATGGCCAGCAGGGCTGAAGGGACAGAGTCAGACATGCAGGTCTGCAGTGGCCACACCCTCTCACTGCACTCACCCTTCGTCTCCCCATCATCCCAGAACAGCTCTCCTCTTGCTTCTTTATTTTCATCCAGAGCAATGATAAGACCAAGAGGGTTCTTCCGGCTGTGGGGAACAGGAGCACAAGACCCAAATCCTTAGTGCTCAAAAAATTTTATGAATCATTTGCATTAAATTCACCTGGAAAAAGTTACTAGCTGTAGATGCTCTATTCTCCTTCAAATATAAAGACAAGATTGGCAGGCCCCTCTCTCTCTAGTACCAAAATTCACAGGAGATGGGAAGACCCTAAAGCTCAGCAATAAGTATATATGAAGGAGGTGGGAATGTGAGAGCAGAATCAATAGAGCAATAAAAAAAATGTGGCTGCAAGTATCATTTTGAAGACAGATTATTAGAAGAGGGAGAAATCTTCCACAACAGTATTATGGCTAGGTGTTTGGAGTTCATACCCTGAGAATTGTCAATTGCTATGAAAAAGACATATTTTTTTCCCTCATAAGACAGTTTTTTTGATAAAGCAAAAATATATAATAGGGTCATATAGAGACTGTCCACTTTCCTTATTTTGATTACTTGTCATTTTGTCTTGAGAAAAAAAGCATATATTCAACCAGTAATTAGGACTGGTAGCAATCACTCTGCTGGAGGAGTTGGAGATAATACCTTGAGTTTACCTTGGACCTTTGAGAAAGCAGCTGGAAATGGAGAGTGGAAAAAGCCTTGTGATAAAGCATTTTTCAAATATGCATAGCCTTTTGCAAAAGGTAACGTGGGAGACGCCTGCATGCAGTGAAACAGGTGACTTCCAGGAGACGAGAATAGTATGCTTTGGCCAGGGCTGGCCTGAAGGCTGAAGGCACTGCAGGAAACTGCAACTCAAGACAGTGTGAAGCTAGGCTGGACTGTTCCTAAACATGAGCCATGGAGTCCAGATTTCAAGCAGGGCAGCAACAAGTCCACACTCTCATTTTAGGAAGGGAACGCTTGTGCCCAACAGCCTGATGCTGAACAATCAGAGAAAGAGTGACCAGAACTCTTTGTATTTATCTCCACATAAAGTCAATAGTGTGACATTTTAGGATAATAAATGGAGCTCAATGGAAAACACAGCTTTTCAGAATTCTAAGAACTAATTCCCAGGCTATTAAAACCAAATAATCTAATACTTTCAGGGACACATGACAGAAACACGCAGCTCTTCAGTGGCATGCAGATGGAGTCTACAACTGGAGTCAATGACATGTAAAGGAAGTCTGTGACGTTGGTGGGTGGCTAAGTGTGTGTGTGTGTGTGTGTGTGTGTGTGTGTGTGTGTGTGTGTGTGTGTGCACACGCGCGCGCGCGCCCTCCTGTCCTAGAGTGGTTGATATACCTAGTATCGTGCTATTGGAGAACACTGATTTTCCCTCTCCCAGCAGGTATATGTGACAGCTTAGCTGTTAACCTTTACCTAGTAGCTAGGTTTTTATTAGTTACGAATAGAAAATAGCTCAGTGGGAGGAATAGAAATGAAGGTGAAGTTTATAATGAGAATATGTGAACCAAGACAGGGAACCAATGATAGACATGCAGGTCAAGGCAGGGAGGCCTGCCCAAGATAGTCTTCCCAAGACATGAGGCTTTCAATGACAAAGCTGGACATGCCTTGGGAAACCAGGAAGGCTGAGCATTCTAGCTGTCAGCCTGTTCTGACACATTCAGAGAGTTGGGGAGGGAGTAGATTAAAATATCTCAAAATCAATCAGGGTGCAGCTCTAGGTCATAAACTTCTAGAGGAAAGGTCAAGTGAAGTCCAAAGGGACATACCCCACTCTGAGACCTTTCCCACCCAGTCTGGTCAACAGACTACCCCAGGAATGCTCCCCTTTGTCAGCCATGCACCCCCTTAAAAGCATCACAGGCTGTACCTGGCTGTTGTAGTTGTGCCTGGCTGTTGTGTGGGGAAGATGTAGCCTCCTCGAAGGTGAAGTCCAATTTTATCTCCAGGAAGTTCCATCTCAATGCTTTGCTTTCTCCATGTCAATTGTCCCCCCTAAGATAGGTAGATGAATCAAACACATTAGCTTCATAGTATGTGGCCCTCCAGGGACCACCATCATGCTGAGTTCTCTATGGTGCTAATTCTTTTCCATGTAGCAGAAATACTCTCTACCCAGATAATCAAAAAAAGAAGCTAAAAATGTAAGTCAGTTCAGGGTTTGTAAAACATTTTTGCCATGCTAAGCCTGTTTGATGTATATTATGTGAACTGATAACCTCTGAACTTGTCATCTGATTTCTGGTCAAGCTCAAATCACCCATGAGGCTCTCTAAGGCTTGCTCATGAGAAGCCCTGTGAGTCTTTATCTTATTGCTGAATGCATTGCATATGTGTTAAGTTGCAGGCTTGCTCTACCTGAACTGTGCTGTGAAATTATAGGAAACACTACAGAAACATTCCTCTTTGCAAAAATGGTAGTTCTTAGCTCCAAGGAGGCACCTCTCTATGCAGCTGCAGCTGTAGTCTTGAGTTTAAGAAAAGTTCCAGTTACTTACGGTCTCATAGTCATACCAGATGGCATCAGGCACATATGCCTTCACTTTCTCTGCACCCTAAAATAAAATAAAAAAACACATTATCGTCATCCCTCAGCCTCTGAGGGCATGAAGCAGATACCTTAGCATAGGGGGTTTCTCCGCCGTATTTGGAAAAGGTAGGCATAGTCTTGTTTTCTCTGTTGTTGAACTATGCCTTTCTCCTAGTACAGGTAAGAGAACTATAGCCTGGCAATCTGGGGCAGGGGGATCACAAATGGGAGGGATTATAATTAGGAATAATAAAAATGATGATAAAATACACTGTGGGGACAATTCCAGCTTTCAGTGAATTATTGAATTTTCTCTGTAGCTCATACGTTAGATGCTGCTATAATCTCTACCTTTGAAGTTGGGAAGCCTACACAAATAACTCTTCTGGGCCAGCAATTCTCACCTAGCTGGCAACGATCATCAACCCTGATCACTTTGACTTTAGAGTAAGTGTTGGTCTCTGTTTCATCCTGACTCCACATCTCAGAGCAATAATAATCAGTTATAATTGACCCGATGAGCCAGAAGCTCATTCCCAAATCTAAGTGACTAGTTTGTGCTTTTACACTGGTTGAGAACTTGTCTAGAATAAGAGACCTCTAAAGAAGAAAACATAAATCAGATATGCTACTACAAAATACCCCTGCATACTCTTCCCTGTTGACTCAACCACAGATTTTTGCAGCAGTTGGGGGAGAAGATTTGGCGAGTAGTGATCAGGAACAGAAGCAGAGGTTGCCTGCCTTCCTCTGTGAGAACACTTGCCTCATCCAGAACAGGAGTGATGAGGAGCCCTGGTCCCCACAGAAACTGCCGGTTTATGTCCCAAGTATTGATGTCCTCATAGAACCTAGATAGCAAATGATAGGTCAGAGAGAGATGGGCCCAGGGCTTTAAATCTCTCCTACAATCTAACCAAAGCATGTAAGCTACCTGGAAAACAGCCACAATCACTGTGCCACACCTACTACTGCCCCACCTCCTCCCATCCCATGTAGATCTGTGTCCCCAACCAAACCCATGTGCCTTCCTGCTCTTCCCCCAGGTGACACAGAAGTTCCTATTCCAGGATCTACACTAAGCTGGCCCCAGACTAGGCTATTGTTTGCTGTATCTCTCTTCAGAAAATAAGTAAAAATAATCTACAAATTTTATGACCTTAGCTTATTGTCAAGAAAGATCTGGGGCCAGGCGGTGGTAGCACATGCCTTTAATCCTAGCACTTGGGGGGGGGTGCAGAGGCAGGAGGATTTCTGTGAGTTCAAGGCCAGCCTGGGCTACAGAGTGAGTTCCAGGACAGGCTCCAAAGATACATAGAATCCTTGTTTGGAAAAACCAAAAAAAAAAGAAAAGAAAAAAAGAAGGAAGGAAGGAAGAAAGGAAGGAAGGAAGGAAGGAAGGAAGGAAGGAAGGAAGGAAGGAA